GCAGGATGGATGGAAACCACGCCTGGGCATACCCTTTGTCGAGGATCCTGAGCCTCTCGATGTAGATGTGGTAAACCTGGAAAGAGGGTAGGCTGGAAGGATAAGATAACCACGAGAGAAGCATACCTTGTTTGAAAAAATCGGCAACAGATGCGGAGGGGAGAGTATCGACGTCCGAAGCATGAGACAGAGTAGTTAAAATTTTACAGATTGAGGCAGGTAATTTGAACCGCAAGTTGCGTTTCCCAGAGATGGAAATGCACAATGCTGCGGCAACATTCGAAAGTTGCTCTGTTGGCATTTGCTTGTGGTCTCCACCAAGAATTATGTTGAAAACAGTCTGTGAAATTTCGGCAGCGCAGGAGAAATCACGAGGGATAGAGCGAGAAGTTGTTCATTGGGGCCGAGGGCTTGTTGATCCATCAATTTCATAGTCGGCACAAGCACCCGAAATAATATGGTGGAGAAGGGCATGGCTACATTCAATCAAACTCATCTCATTGTGGGGTATTGTAGGTCAAGAGCATTTTTATTTGTGGGTAAATCCGCATGGAATACAGAGATGCGCGAACGGGTGGGTTGATGACCAAGGAATATATCACGAAGGATGTTAAATGAGGTAACAGCGGGTGCACATGGGGTAGTGGCTTTGGAAGATGAAGCCTCGCAACCAGCATCCATATCTTGAATCGACATCAGTACAAGAACGGAATCAAGGACACATGCAACGACATACGTGGGCAGCCGTAGCTGAAAGGTGTTGCGGTAGAGGGTGCCGAGGAAGGTAGAGATCGGGACAGAGTACCAGCTGCAATATTTAGGTAGGGTTATGCAAGAATGACGAGAACTCACGCGGTGGCAGCCGAAAGTCGAGGAGGCCGGATGGCAAGTAAAAGCAAGCATCTGGGATGGAATCACGGCAAAACGAATACCAGTCACAGCCGAGGACTAAATCAAAGGAGAGAGAAGCAGAGATGGAGGGCTGGACATCCAGGGAGCAGACAGAATCGGCAGTGGCCCGATACGGAGTCCAGAGACCACAGAATTGATGGCAGTGAGCCCTGACGTTAGAACCCAATCAATAGACAAGAGAGCCTTTTCAAGGTCGGTGTTGAACGTTGTGGAGAGTGGAATATCGCAGAGGGACGCAGAGGGAGGCATTGGGAGATCTGGATTGACAAACACACGAAATTTAGGCAGACAGAAAAGCAGCTTACGCAAAAACGGATGACGAAAACGTGATCGCCTGCGAGTCAGGCTCAAAATCAGGTGCTATAAGACCCGTACCTAAAGGTAGCGGGAATAGAAGGGGGGGCAGCAGCAGGCAGCAAGAAGCAGGTTTTGAGGAATTAATTGGGATGCCGACACGGCTTTAAAACAGACTGACTGAAAAAGAGGAAAGGGGGGGCACGTGCGCTTACATAAGCCGTTTGCGCGGACAAAAAATGGTCACTGTAAGACACAAACACTTCAAAACAAGTTTTGGTTTGTGAAACACCTCAAAACAAGTTTTGGTTTGTGAAACATCTCAAAACAAGTTTTGGTTTGTGAACCTTCCCTTTCGCCCCCACTGCGTCAGCCCGCGCCCCCCGTTCTCGACCCACCGCCGCCGCCGCCCTCGGCATCCACTGCAGGCGCGCCTCTTGTCTGTTCCTGACGACCGTAGCGCAGTCATGCACTCACACAAGCACTCGCGCCCCGAGCCGCCACCGGGCCCTTCGCACGTCTTCCCCCGCTCCACAGCACCCAGCTAGCGCCCGCCGTGTCCACCTCTAGCTCGAGTTCCTCCGCCTCCTCCTCCCCCCGCCTCCTCCTCTTCGTCCACGAGCTCCTTTGTAGTGCCGCAGACCTTCACCCCACCATTCCCGGCACAGTCCCTCCCGCCCCCGCCGACCGGTGGGCCCAAGCGGGCCAGGCCGGCCTTCAGTCCTCTGCGCAGCTGTCCCGTGCGTCCATGTTCCTCGTGCTCGTGCTGGCAACCGTATCTTATACTTTTTTATCCGTCGCGATCTTTTCGATCTCTTTGTATTTTTGCCTGCTCGCGGACACGCACCGCGCACTCCTCCACCATGCCCATTGCATCCGCCCTTATCGCCGCCGCCTCGCGTCCCTCGCTCCTTCCAAGTTTTCTTCCTTCGTCGCTTTCAACACGTCATCACTACAGTCTACACCTTCCTTCCTCGCCATGCTCATCCTCCTCCTCGCCGCGCAGCGCTGGCAGCGCATCTGATACTCTTTTATCCGTCTCGAGTCTTTTGTATTTCTCCAAGTTGATATATTTGTATCTGAGAGTCATCTCTGTCTTTCGCTCCTCGTGGACACCTCCATCTTGCCCATCGCACCCACCCTTATTGCCGCCTGCCTTGCATTCCTCGCTCCCTTGCATTTCCTCCCGACCCCAATCTACATCCTCGTCGTGCTCATCATCCTCCTTGATCTCCTCCGCGATTGTCGTCCGCTCAGCCTCCGCCGCCGTGCCAGATCTGCAAAGGACTCAGTGGCATGATCTGACTCGTCGGCAAGCTTGTTTGAGGTAATGTTGTGGCGGTCCGATGGCCCGGGAGGATGTTGAAACTTGAATTGTGCGACTATCAAAGAGAGAGTTTGTGGAGCACTTTGTAGTGTGAATAAATAAATATTTGAGAAGTCCAACTGCCGGTCCTGTGCCCACTGAGGTACATAAGTACACGACAAAATTCGATTTTGAAGCGGAGTAAAACCATACCCGGCTAATGTAGAGCAGCACCTCTTCAATGGTACACAGTGTGCGCCGCTAGTGGTACACCATGCTGCCTTACTTGCGTTCCACTGATCATGAACTTTTTAAGGTTTATTTCCAGCACAGCATGAGGTCAAACGGCCAGTGTGGGGCCATTGAACAGGGCCCTGGCACCGTCGTCAGCCGCGGAAGGCAAGACCCGGGGTCAAAAAAACTCGAAGCAAATAAAAGATCACCCATATGCGAAGGGCAGCATCTCGATTCGAACGAGCTTTGGGGCAATTCACTCTGCTGTCTCCCACTGGTACCCAGCGTAGCGATACACCATGCTGCCTTGCGTTGGCGTGTCGTACTACAGCTGAAAGTACCACAGGCGGAAGTTAAAATACGAATGGTTTTGAGTGCATGCGGAGACCGTTGAATTTGCATTGGATTGAAGTTTATATATTTACTGTATACATTGTGAGCCCGGCCCTTCTGCAAGTTCTCGTGCATATTCTCCCCTCTTAAGGTGTTTTTCGACCTCCAAAACTTTCATTTGACTCCGTTTAAAATGTAATGAAATGACATTTGGTTAGAGTTAAGGATCTAATGACTTTTGCTTCATTTTTTGTGGTAGCTATGTTCACGCGAGCCAGCGGCTCGCATCGGCCACCGCATAATTTCCGCCCAGTAACAATGCAGAATCAGCGGGGCTCGCCGATGTCCGCTCCGTGTAGAGCTCTGAACATGTCCGCGAAACGTCGACAGTGCACTGCATTCAATGTGCACCCACGGCCGCTTGATGTGAGATTGAACTTGGCAGTTGGACTGATTCCAAGCACTTAACTGAGCATCCGGGACAAGAGGCGGGACTGGCTTCCCAGAAGTGTTCATAAAAAGCCCCAAAACACTCTGACGGAAACCGTTTCCATGCAATGGCAACACCATCGAACGAGGAACTCGGGGTTGCAAGCTGTTTAATTTTACGAGGCACTGAAGTACACCCGATGTGCGGCATTGCACCATGCTGCCTGTTCAGGGAAGACTCGCTCCAGTATAGATGGATACTCTTTCCCTATGCTGGGAGGCCATCTTCAAGCATGCACTGAAACTCAGGCAGCCACTCGTCTGAATCGCCACGAGGTACTTGCTAAAAAAAGCACTTGGCAAACCACGTTTTGCAGGCAGCACCCCGATTCGAACCGGTTGAAGATTGGTGACCATCTGAAGATATCGATCTGAAGTCATACCCAGTGTGACCTTACACCATGCTGCCTCACTTCGACCCAGAACTGGGTATTGTTGGGGCTGGGCCGATTCTGTACTTCGTCAAACGGTCAATGGCCCCAAAGCTGCTTTGCTTTGGCAGTGTCGTTACAGCAGAAAGAAGAGCTGGAGTACTCTTGGAGCTATACCGAGCTCCAACTGGCTTAGAAGCTCATTCTGCCACGATTCTGTATATCAATGGGAAACAGAACCCCGAAAACAGCGGTCTAGTCGGCATCGGTGATCGGAACAGATGGCAATCAGCCGAAACGGCACTCGAAAATAACAACAAAATATACAGTAGAAAAGAGTAGAAATAGGCATTCATGCAGAAAATAGGTGTTTGTGGGAGAAATAGGTGGTCAGAAACGCGTCATGTTCTGTATCTTTGGGCGGTGTACGGGCCACCGATGATGCTATCGACAAATTGACTTGAACATGAGTATGGTCCGGCCGCAGGAGGTGCAACAAGTCCAAGTGTCTGAGCATCCGAGTCGCAATGGGCGGTGCCAGCTTGACAAATGTGCGCATGAAAGAAGAGGAATAAAAACATTTTACACACATCACTGGATAGATGAAGTATGGCAGCACCTTGATTTGAACGAGGAGTTCTGGCCCGGGCTTGGGCAATATCACCCAATAGCATATTGCACCATGCTGCCTTCTCTCCTTGCCAATCTGGGAGGTCAAGGACTGCACTGCGCACAGGCGGTCCGATTGAGACGGGTAGAAAAAAGTGATTACTGTACACCACGCGCTAGCCAGAACCAGTGCGGGGACTGGTCATGATCAGAGTTGCCAAGCTTGGTCGAGTGCTGTGGTGGTGGTGGTGCGGGGACGAAAGTCGAAATGACGACCATTGCGGAGAGTCTATGCAGCACTGTGTCAATATGATAAATACTTGCCTGAAGTACTAGTGCAAACTCCGTAAATTACGAGTGCCAGAGTACTTGAACAAAACTCGAAAAACGAATTCGAATTTAAAACAGAATAAAAATGTGTGCCAGTGCAGTACTAGTGGGGTGATGGATCATGGCAGCACCTCGATTCGAACGAGGAACTCTGGGCCAGTGCAATATTCGATAGTGACCACTTGGGCAGTCTTACCCAGCGTGTTGCGATACACTATGCTGCCTTGCGTTGGCGCTGTCGTCGCAGTTGAAAGTACCACAGTGGGAGTGAAAATATGAGCGACGCCGATGAGTTTGCATTGGGTGGTAATCAGGCTCGCGAATTAAGTTCAATTGTGACTTCTGTTCCTGCGCGACCTGGTCCAGGTTTCAATTCCCAGCAAGGCGCCATTACTCTTGTGTGAGGCGGACGCATTGGGTTTAAGGCGTAACGGTACAAGTATTGGGGGGTGTTTCAGGCAAGCAGACAAAAAATTACCAGATCGCTGGCTCTCACGAAATGGGCAGCCAACGACCGGCCACTCTTACCATCAAATGTTACTGATCGCTGTTGGCTCACAGGAAAACTGAATGGCATGACATTTGTTTGAAGTGCTTTATAGTATAAAGTTAAACAGGCAAAAATTCTTGTAGTGTTAACCTCGCGTCCAGTCGCGTCACGATGGGGACCGCCGTGTAATTAATGGAGGCCTACGGCGGATTTCTTCAGTCTGAAGAGAACGGTCGCAGGTGAGCAATCTTTCTCCTAATAGCACTCATCTAACTAACTCGATCCCTCTGAGTGGCAAGCAATTGGAGGATGGCACACCCAATGCCCAGCACCCTGCACAGGAGTGTCGGCCTCGGTGAAAGCTTTTTCGGCTTTAAATCCGTCTCCGAGGAAGCCGTGTTGTACACAATGCCCTGGACGCACTCCAACCATTCAAATTCATATTCATGATCCCCCCTGGCATGGCTCTCGCGGCGTCTCACAAACCTTGCCAGGTACCAAAGAACATGCTTTGCATTCCAGTTAGTGGTCAGTCGGGCCCGGCTGCCCGGGCCCAGCCCGGATCCGAACCCGGCTTTGGCGGGCTTGGGCTTGTGAAAAACCAAGCCCGGGCCCGAGCCCGAGCCAGGCCCGGCCAAGCCCTAGGGCCCGGGCTTCAGGCCTGACTTTCTCAACTCAGACTCAAGTCAGACTTTCTATTTATTCATCCATATTTAAAGAGGATATCACTGTAGTATTTGCATTCAATATGCTTTCCACCACATATTGAGCAAAGTGCCAGGCTACATCACAATGATCACATGGCGATTTGTACCTAGCCGAGCCTAGCCGGAGTGCCGAGTGTTGCCGACAGATCAAATTCCCATATGGGGACCCCGTACGGCACGCTGGGCCCGGCCGGGCTCAAGCCCTAGGGCCCGGGCTTTCTGAAACCCAAGCCCGGGCCCGAGCCCTGATGAAGCCCAGGCCCGGCCCGACGACGGGCTCGGGCTGCCCACACCCGGGCCCGGCCTGGGCTCGGGCCTGAAGCCGGGCCCGACTGACCACTAATTCCAGTGAGTCGCGTTTGGGTCTGACTGATGAATCCTGTTAAAAAATTTGAGGGAAAATTGTGAAACTACTTGCATATCGGCCAGACGGTCTGTTGCGAGGCATCTTCCACAGACGACATCCACGTCTTCAGAGTTTTGATCCACCTCTGGATTGAGGCACCGTATGTGTGACCAGTACCGGGACTCTTCACACTGCACCTATCTCGTCGTCGGAGGTGTCTTCAACCTCAATAGCCTTTTTAGAATGAACTGCAATTTTCTCGAAATCCTCTTGTATCTCTGCGATGCTGCGGGAGGTGCTCTGGAAGTTTAGATCAGAGCAGGTGTTGTTTAAACATGTCCAACATACTGAAGCCTTCGATGTGCGTAGATTAAGCACAAATGATTCATCCCTCCACGAACCATATCGTTATACAGATAGGTTCCATCTTTAACCTGCGTCTTTGTTATGTAGTGGCCAATCCCGCTTGGATTTTGTGGTGGATTGAAGATAACCCTCGCAATCAGTCGATATTCAACCTACGGGCCGAGGTTCAGCACAAACGGACAAACCACGTCGGGCATCTCGGGATCATGTATAGGATCGCGGTGGTAGGATCCATACGGAGAAGAAGTGGCCATTCTGTTGGGATTGACTTGATATCTGCTTTTATATTACATGAATGGTCAGAGCAAACAATAGGAACCCCACTGTGGAGGGGGTGAAAGGATGATGAACGCGACGTGGCGTAGCTCTCCCTGGGAGTTGCGTGCATCAGATAATCTGTCAAAAAAAAACCCAGAGACGAGTCCAGATAAACTTTAACTCCGCGCCTTCACGCAGGGGACAGTCAACACCAGTTAAATGCGGTATTTCAGTGGGGCGCAAGAGTCAAATGGGGTATATAAATAGCCGCAGATTCCCCGGCCAAGTTTGGAGCTCCCACGACCCAAAATAGGTGTGTATGCACAAATCGGCAACGTTGAAGCTATCACGCGCGCCGGTCCATCTATTAACTAAGTACGGCAACAATACGGCAACAATACGGCAATGACTACGGCAGCAAGTCCTATGGAATAGGACTGAGTCCTATCGACTACGGCAGCGAGTCCTATGGAATAGGACTGAGTCCTACGCCATAGGACTGGGGCAGTCCTAGTCCTACTATTCTTGTCACTCCTCAAATTTGGGTAAGGGGTCCCTGGGGGTTCGCGTCCGCGTGGCGGAGTAGGGCGGAGCGCCGTGAACATGTCAACGATATCCTTTGCACCAAAATTGCGGGTCACAGTCCGTCGCCCACCCCGTCGCCCGTCCCGTCCCGTAGAGATATTCTCGATGACGGGACGGAGACCGACGGGTTTGCCCGTCGAAACGAGTGCCGTGCCCGTTGACGGGAACAGCCCTAGTTGACGAGATATTCACTCGCCTTGTGGCCAACTTGTGGCTCAGCTGTCTACTTTCTCCCTGGCTTCGCGTTCGTCGTTCGATTCCATTCACTCCCCTTTCTTGAAGTGTTTTCAGCGGCCATCACCCCGCTATTACTACCGCCCGTCTGTCGCGCATCTTTCGTGACGCTCCATCTAAGCCGCCCGGCCGGGTACCAGTTGCAGCCGAGTAACAGTGATTGCACTCGTTTCACTGCAGGTACTTGGCACAGTTCCAGGAAGCCCTCAAGCTCGCGGGATTCGTAGTCGCATATAAGACACACGCGTTGGAATACAGCGTGAAATTGATTTTTTTGAAATTTACCTCATTTTGTGAAAGCCGTATACAAAATTGATCTCGAAATCCGGGAAGCCGTGCACGAAATTTGGATCATATTGAGCCTCGGCCGATATACTGGTACTGCTTTACAAACCCGGATCATCCATGATTCACAAACCAAAACTTGTTTTGAAGTGTTTGTGTCTACCGTGGTCAGGAATGTCGCCAAAAGACGTTATGTAATATAATAGGCACGTGCTCCCCCTATCTGTCCGACTCACTTGCGTAGTTTGATTGTGAAAGCTATTAGCTAACCAACTTAGCTTTGTCGAAAACCATCACGATTCGGCATGTGACTGGGACCTGCATTTCCACTGAGAATTTAGTAGGCACGTTCACAGTGCCGGCGCGGACATCACAGATCCAAGTCACAGCGGATCAGCTGACACGGTCATCCCGAGATCCGCGACCGGCTGCACGCAATATTCAGGGTCAGTGTTTCAGTTAGTACCTAATAACCCCTGTAATTTGAAATGACACAAAGTCATGCACCACAGCAGGTCAGAGACGAAGAGAAGAGGCTGAAGGCATTGGTGACCTTGCTGCATGTCAGAAATACACTCAGTTGGTACACTGACTTAACTGGGGAACAATTTGGAATCTTTTGAATCCTCTGATGCTCCAAACTTGCATTTATTACTATTAATTACTTTTAAATATTTGGTTTGTGCCTCCACCGCTTGCTGGCCTTCCCACCATGGCAGTTATTCACAAACCAAAACTTGTTTTGAAGTGTTTGTGTCTTCCCGTACTCAGCTTTGTCCAAAAAACTGTCAAAAAATGCTTTATGTAATTTTGGACAGCTGTCATGTCACGGGATCTGCCTCGGATCTGTCTATAAGCGTTGTCTATAAGCGGTGTCTGCACGCCGCCCATGCCGATTGTCACCAATATGTTCATCCTGAGTGAGGTCACGGGTTGTTGAGAGCTTTGCAGATATTTAGTTAGGAGGGTGAAAAGAGGCTGTACTGTCAGAACAATGTTGCTGCCAGTGGTGACTGGTCTTTCCCGACTCTTCATCTGATGATTTATGTCCAGTCAGCAACAAAGTTGTGCAATCTTCTAAATGCCATGGTGCGACACGTCGCACGTGGTACGATGGCTGCTTTTGGAATAGGGGTAATCGTAATCCTATGTATATCGGCATTCGAGATGCTGAAACCAATGCCCCGGTTCGCAAGCGGCGGCAGCGGCATACACAGCATCCGTAAGCCTAGGCTCCCATACTGCCGCGCGGCCGCAGAGAGCGACCGCAGGTTGGCGACGAGCGGCAGGGTTTCAATTTTCAGCAAGACTCAATCTAAATTTTTTATTTGCATGCTACGTCAAAGTGGTCCCAACTAAGATCGAAATCTTGCATGTGTCGGAAAATCCAAAATCAGGAAACATGTACCGATATGTAGCATATCAGCACATATACACCTATCAGCATTTTGGAGAACAGATATGCGTCAAAGATTAGCTATAACTGTTTACCGGAGCTGATATGTACTGACAGTTGTGATGCATACAGACATGCAATATTAATACATATATGTACTGATCAGCATTTCGGCGAAAAGAAGGAATAAAAGGCTATTCTGTCCACTAGACCCTTCATTAGTGAACAGCTTGAATTTCACTGAGCTTAGCTAGATTCCACTGGGCTTTGTTAGTTAGTTAGTTAGTAGGCTTCAAATATTCGTAAGCTAAGTGAGTAAAGCCAGGTGTATGCACTGGCAGGACTTCAACATTTATGGCACACACACATGCATACATACATAAGACAATTTCAGACATGATGACTTAAGTTTTGTACCTTGCTCGAGCAGCGGGTGGAGGCCCTACTCAGCTCAGTCAAAAATTTCACTTGAACCTTCTGTGAAATCCACTGAGTGAGTCTGTGTCGGCCACGAGCCTAGTGAAAAGTGAGTCCTTTGGTTTTACTCCACTTCCCCG